CTCTTCGTTATTTAGTTAGCTAAGATCTCTCATCGATTCGATCTCCATCAACACATCAGACACTTTTCAGTGAGATGGAAGATACGCATTAGAGTATGACGGTGTAGTACACCAGGGGTGGCCTCTCAGAGGCGAGCCGACAACTAGCCACGAGGCTTAGGAGGCCCAGCAAGGATCTGATGACTGGTGGGAGCCCCGGAGCCCAGATGAACATCTAGAGATCATCTTGGCGCACAAGCCAAGAGGACGGCGCCTTAGATCAGACCGATCTCCTGTAAAACCCTAGCCCACGTCATCTATGTAAGGTGGGGCTAGGGGTAGCCATTCCCATCTACTATTGTAGAACAAACTCTCAGTAGTCATAACATCATCCCCCTTTGTAAACCTCGCATGAGGTACTCCACCATGAATACAAACTAGAAGTAGGATGTGGGATATACCTCTCCCAGAGGGGCCAAACCTGGGTAAACTCCTTGTGCGATCTCTGGTCTGGTACTTCCAGACATGTTTGCCACCCTACCGAGGGTACTGATAGTTCCACGCACGGTCCATCGACGTGTCACGGAGGGGTTGCGTCGACCGGGGACCGAACCCAAATCGGGTCTTCTCACGTTTTCGGTGGTCTCCCGCCCGGAGAAAGCTTCATCACCTTCGGCATGGGTAGGGCTGGCTAGGTCGACATCAACCCACCGACCACCCACCCACCCACACCGGGGTTCATGACACCATTTCCATCGATTGTCGACTTATGGGGCTGCTTCGTCCTACAGAACATTGAGGCCACATACTGGTGGGAGATACAAACGCGTTTGCACGACCATATCAACTTCAACATGGAGGCCCGACCCGTCTTGTCGGGGCCTACAATGTCCTCGCTAGTGACTCTCGGCTCGAAGGGCGCGATCTTGGACCAAGACATCTAGTACTCGAGGCTCGAACCTTGGCCTTAAGGTCAGATCACTGCGCCGACTTCACACTAACTCTTTTAGCCCACCCTGATGTCGCACCGCCTGGTCGCCATTATGCTCGACAATTGGTTCATCAACCATATACCAGAAGACTGCATCATAGACGAGTAGCGATCCTGTCGGAAGTTCTTCAACACCAATGGATCCGATCAAACCCAGCGCTAGCGGAGCCACAACAACACACGTGGGGCTTACAACCTCACAGCCCCCAGTCCCGGAGCCAGTGGCCATCGCTCCATCAGCACCTCCGGCCCCATCCCCAGTTGGTCACTGTCCAAGCAAATTCAACATCCTCGGCGTTGGCTTGTCGAGCTTCACAACCCATGGGGCCATAATTTCTAGCCTCGCTAGGACCACGATGATGCAGCCCCTCATTACTGAAGAGGAGTTGCAATTGTTCAGCGTTCCCATACCAAGGAGAGATCCCACCACACAGACAATAGAAGCCTTCCGGTAGGCTACCCTAGTCGCCCAACTACAGTTACAGAAAAACACGATGGTGGTCGCCGCGCAGAAGGCACGACAGCAAGAAACGATGAACAATGAGAGGCGACGCCGAGCTCTTCACCAGCCAAGGGCAACCACTAATGCCCTCGTGGCCCAAGGTCACGAGGTGGGCATAAGTTTCGATGAGCCTGTGGACACCACCCTACTCCAAACACCAGCCCGCGGCCTCCAAGCCACCGCGGTGCTAGACGACACGCTACACGATAAGCCAGGAGGCAGAAGATCATTGCAAGTCTTAGAAGGATAGTCCGCAACACCATCGAGCTCCAGGAGAATATCGGTGAGTCCAGGCAATGCCTGGCCGGCACTAACAACGTCCTTTTAGTTGTAAGACACCCGCCCCAAGACAACCGCCAGGGATAAGTACCCCGGCCTGTTGCCCCAGCAGCGGACGAGGTCGAAAACCTCCAACAAGCAATCCCCGCCGTCAACAAACGGAACCCGACAACACTTCCGCGTGGTTGTGTGTAAGTAGGGCATAATTTTGTTATGGTATGTATGTATCACCTTATGCTACATTTTAAGTTAGTAATAAAAATTGTTGCCCTTTATTAAAAGAAAATCTAAAAGCATGGTTAATTTTACTCAAAACTAAAGAAAAGAAAATTGTTTGTGCCAGCATGCAGCGGAGACGAGGGAGCAGTGATCTCTGGGGGCAGAACAGTCCATTCTCCGGCCCCACCCAATGGCACATTGCCATTGCCATTTGCCACCCCCCACCGCCGCTAGCTTTTAAAGCTAAACAAACTCCATTACTCCTTGCTTTGGAGTAGTCGCAAAGCGAGTCTTGTCCCGGGAACACACACAGAACCTGAATCACGCAGATGTCCGCTTGATTGACTGCTCCTCCCATTTCCGTCCGTGCGCGAGCGCGATCTTGGGCGCTTCCGCTCTGCCTCTCCTGGAAATTCTCCGTTCTCGCGGTTCTCCCCCGGGAAATTCGGCGGAGTGGTTGATATCCCTGGCCAAAGGTAATCTCCTCCATTTTTTATCCCCTTTGCTTCCGTTTCTGTACGCAGTTCTTCTCCTGGAATGTGAATCTTGCATTGACGATTTTGTGCGTCTCTCTCACTTTCCCAGTGTATTCATCCCTTGCTTCAAACAAAATCAAGCTTTATCACGCATTTGTTGTATATTTTCAGCTCTATACGCAGTTCATATTCTCGCCATTTTCTTGAATTTACAGTGTGTGTTTTTTTCTGTTTCTCCCCATCTTATTTTTTGGTACAGCAAAAGCAACGGTTTGCACAAGACCGTTCTGCGGCTTCTTTATTTATTCTCCGATTGACTGCATTCATGTGCAAATTCCTTTAAAAAGTCCAACTTTGGTTTTATTTTTCCGGTGCCCATTCATGTGGGTTTCTCCACTGCAACCTGATAAGATTCCAGCCTCACTAGTGCTTGTTCCCATGGTCTCCCTACACCCCATCCCTCCTTGCCTCACCAATTATTCCCGCTGTCCCCTCACCCCAAGGTGCTGCTCCGTGCTGCTTTGCAGGTGCTGCTTGTGTGATCCAGCTTTGGGGGAGTTCTTGGATTCCTGGCATTGTGCTCTCTTGGACCCAGAGCTTGAAAAGATTTGCTGAAATAGTTTGCCAATCTAGAGGGAGAGATATCCTACTTTAATTGGTTTCTTGGCCTTGGCAATGCCATGAGCAAGGGGAACAATAAAACCTAGATCTTAACAGCTTTATAGCTTAGGGATCTTGTCACTTGGTTCTGATCTGTGGTGATTGGATTGGAGACAAGGAGAAAACAGAGAGGGGATTCAGGTTACTCTCACCGTGTCAAGATGAAGTATATGAAGCTTGGAGCAAAGCCAGATGTCTTTCAGACAGAGGGGAATATCAGGTGAACTAATGCATATTATTTGACTTCTCATCTGGTTTATTATTTTTCCTGTTGATTTGATCACTTGTGGTCTAGCTTCTATTTTCAGTCTGTATTCCATGAGTTGTAGTTGGTCCATTTTTGTACATAAAAGTGGCTGTACGCTCATATTCCTGATTAAACTTTACTGCCATCCTTAGTTCTCTATTTGTCCAAAGTTAGCAGGGATCTACTTTTCTTATTTGTGTACATGAGTTAATATGAGATATCCCTGTTTTCTATTATTAATAAATACAAACATAACAGGTACATGTTCTAAAAAAGTATATGGTACAAAACAAAAACTACAGACCTTGGGGCAAAGATACCAAAAACTACTATCTAATTAAAAGTTTTAACACGACAGAAACCAACTTAACTTGATGTTGTTTCTCTGTAATCTATGCTGAGTTGCAGTTGTTACTTTGTTAGCGAACTTCAAAATCGTCTACTGCAAGATAGTAACGCTTGAAGTTTTGTCTTGCAAACACCCTGAGTACTTAGCTGCAAACTGAAGTTAGAAGTGTGATTATGGGTTTTGTTGGGCAGATCTTTGTACTACACATGTCAAGCAAGTTTGAATGCTTGATCTTATTAAAGCTATACTAACCAATAGTATTGTCGTAGTTTGTAGCAATGGTATATCAAGTAGCCGGGTCTACTCTAAATTACAAAACATTTGCAGTGAAGTGTGTACTATTATTATTGTTCATTCGACAATGATTGACACCAAAAAGTTATGTGTGAAAGGGAGTGCTGTTTTGTGTTAAGCAGTGGGTTTTCATGATCGCGCTCAAAAGGCTCTCGATACAATTGATCTCCTTTACAGATACATCTTCTCTGATTCTTTGCCAATGGCATGTCTTCTTACGTTTTCTGTATACTTCAGATTCAGAGCATGTGCCAATTTCCTCATATATATTTCTTCTAGCATGTTCAGTGTTCATGGGTTGGTGGTGGTGTGGTCCATTTTGAAAATGAAGTTCCATTTGTTGTCAGATCATTTTCCTTGGACCACTTAGTAGTCTGATTAGTTATACCTGTCATATACACATGGCTACCTTTCATGAATTTGCTTTCTTCACTTTATATCTTTGCCCTTGGTACTTTATTTAGGCTATCACTCTGTCATTCCTTTTCTTACTCTTAGCCAATTCAGCGAGTGGATGAGTTTGTTATGTTATTTCATGTTATAGTTCAGATTCTAGGGATCTTTGCTTTATGTCTCATTCTTTTTTCCAAAACATGTTTTTTTCCTCCGTCGTGTGTGATCATTTTTCCTTGCAATTATTGCGGTCCCGATTCTCTGAACCAACATGGTCCTAAAACAAACCTATGAATTAGTTTATCATTCATTCTCATTCTCATTAACTCCATTACTATTTCTGATGTAGATTTGCATGAGACTTCATTGTGCAACATATCTATTTGTCTTAAAGTTACTGGATGCTCAATTTGACAAATCATTGACACATTTCAGTATCAGAAAATCTTCAAGATGCTCATGTCTTGAAAATATACTAGTGATGTTTGCCTATGATGATGTCAAAGGTGTCATTGAAAATATGCATGCAAACACTTTAAATACTAAGCATTTTTATTCTATTTTCATCTCCAAAATTTTAATCATTTTGCAACCTTGTATGTTCGTCTTGTATGCTGTACACTTCTATGTCATGTCGTGTCTCAGTTTGCACTACATTTATATGTTGGAATGTCTTTTGTAGGTTTGTGGCAACTGAACTGGCGACGGATATTGTTATCACTGTAGGAGATGTCAAGTTTTATCTTCATAAGGTACAATTTCACTTTTCTTTTTGATCAAGCGTTCAAATGTCCCTCCACACTATTTTTGCTTCAAATGTGCACTTTCAAGTCCTTTCGATTATACAATTTTATATGTCAATTAGAGGGAGATAGAGTATATGTGATATCGTTTTTAGCATATACTGTTTTATGACCCCTTACATTGGTTGAAGTTAAAGCTTTTCGCATGAGTTTTTGACATATAATCCAGTAGAGTTAGTGACAGCTGATCCATATCCATTGCAATTCTGTCCTTGGTTAAATAGTACTGACATTGTTGTTCAAATTGCGTGCAGTTCCCACTTTTGTCCAAGAGTTCCCGTCTGCAAACATTGGTTGCCTCCACGGACGAGGAAGGCAACGATGAAGTAGACATTTCTGACATCCCCGGTGGACCTTCAGCATTTGAAATCTGTGCAAAGTTCTGCTATGGTATGACCGTCACGCTGAACGCGTACAACGTCCTCGCGGCCCGCTGCGCGGCCGAGTTTCTCGAAATGTTCGAGACGATCGACAAAGGGAACCTCATCTACAAGATTGATGTGTTCCTCTCCTCCAGCATATTCCGCACCTGGAAGGACTCGATCATCGTGCTGCAGACAACAAGGTCGCTCCTTCCCTGGTCAGAGAACCTGAAGGTGATCAACCACTGTGTGGACTCCATCGCGGCCAAGGCTTCCATCGACCCCTCGGAGGTCGACTGGTCGTACACCTACAACCGGAAGAAGCTGCCGTCGGAGAGCGACCCCGACTCGCACTGGAACGGCGTGAGGAAGCAGCTGACGGTGCCCAGGGACTGGTGGGTGGAGGACATCTGCGACCTCGAGATGGGCTTGTACAAGAAGGTGATCCTGGCCATCAAGGCCAAGGGGAGAACCGCCGGCGAGGTGGTCGGAGAAGCGCTACGAGCCTACGCGTACCGAAGGCTGTTCAGCACCTTGGACAGTGCTGCGAGCAACGGGCTTGACTGCACACGGCACCATGCGGCTCTTGAGACCATCATTTCTCTGCTGCCACCTGAGAGAGGCTCCGTCTCCTGCGGCTTCCTGCTCAAGCTGGTGAGAGCGGCGTGCTTACTGGGGTCAGACGAGGCCTTGCGCGGCGACCTGGTAAAGAGGATCGGCTCGCAGCTGGACAGAGCTTCCGTCTCTGATCTTCTGATACCCGCGAGCTCCGACGAGAATGCTCTCTACAATGTTGACCTGGTGTCCTCGATACTGGAGGAGTTCATGGTGCAGCGCAACGGCGATGATGAAGCATTGGAGGACGGTGAGAGCTACCCGGCCTCTTTGGTCTCTGGCGGCGACTCGGAGCTCGCGTTGGTGAGGCTGGTCGACGGGTATCTAGCCGAGATCGCCAAAGACCCCAATCTCCCTCTCCAAAAGTTCATCGCCATCGCTGAAATGGCGCCCCTCGCGGCTCGGCCGACCCACGATGGGCTCTACCGCGCCATTGACATGTATCTCAAGGTACGTACCTACACACTTGCCCATTTACATACTAGTATTGGATTGGATCCATGTTCATGTGTTTGTTTGTTGGAGCTCAGTCAGAACTTTGAACTGAAATAATGTGTCATGTGCAGGAGCATCCGAGCCTGACGAAGAGCGAGAAGAAGAGGCTGTGCGGGCTCATGGACTGCAAGAAGCTGACCGCCGAGGCGAGCTCCCACGCCGTGCAGAACGAGCGCCTCCCTCTGCGCTTGGTCGTGCAGGTCCTCTTCTTCGAGCAGCTCCGAGCATCGGCCTCCGCCGAGGCGGCAGCGTCTGATCACCACCCGTCCTCCGCCCTGCGCTCGCTCCTCCCCGGAGAGAACGGCAACTCGTATGGCAGCTCCAGGTCGGCCGCCACGACGGCCACGACCGAGGACGACCAGTGGGGCGGCGGCATGGCGCCAGCGTCCGGCGACACCAGCTCCTTCCGGTCGATGAGCGGCCTGGGCAACAACAAGAGCGGAGGGAACGGCGGCAAGGCGGCGGCCAAGGGCCCGCTGCAGATGCCGAGGAAGATGCTGAACAAGCTGTGGTCCAGCAAGGCGAGCAGCGGGGAGAACAGCGCCGGCTCCGACACGTCGGAGAGCCCCGGCTCCGTCAACCTCGAGGCCGAGACCAAGTCCACGCATTCGCGGAACACCAGGCATTCCGTCTCGTAGGCCGCTGCCTTGGCATTCTTACTTTTTCTCTTTGTTCCTGTTCAGGGCGAGCCTGGCCATGGAGGTCTCGCTGCTGAATTGAATTCGTGTGGAATGGTTCCACCTGCCAAGGATGATCATCACCCTCAAAGTTAGTGTATTGTTTGGTTGATTTTTGGTGTCTATACAGAAATAAAATCTGGTTTTGGGTTGCTAAAAGCATGGGAGCGCCTTGCATGGCATGGCATCGTGAAGCAATGCTTCAATCTAGTAGCACATGAGGGTGATCATCCTTGTCAGGTGAGATGTAGCAAATCTGGTTTTGGGTGGCAAAAAAGGAACCTCCCGATCCGGCCCGGATAAACCGGATCGGAGATCTCTCGTCTCGCCCCCGACAAACCACAAGTCTCTCCCAGCGACTGCTAGCATGCTTGTCTCCGACTAAGAGCATCTCCAGCCGCGCCCCAACAGGCCCCCTCAAGGCTGTTTTTTAGTGCCGGCACCGAAAAATCGGCCCAATCACGCTCCCACGAGTCTGTTTTTCGTTGGATTGGGCCAAAATTGGCGCCGGCACACTCAACCCGAACCCGGCGCGCTGGGGGGCGCCGGCTCGAACATTTTGACGCGAAAGAGTGGCGGGACCGGCGCGTCAGTGAGACGAAGGCTGGTCGTCCTCATCGTCTCGGTTTTTCTGTGGAGAATCAATGCCAAGGCTGCCGCGGTTTTTTTCCGTGCATTTTATTCGTGTAAAAAACGTCTAAATTTCGCCGAAATATGTCGTGCTTGTTGAAATTTGGCCTAAATATGTCGTGTTTGCTGAAATTTGTGTTGGAGAACATAGCAGAATTTAAAATTTTCTACGCATCACCAAGATCAATCTATCGAGTTATCTAGCAACAAGGGAAAGGGGAGTGCATCTACATACACTTGTAGATCGCGAGCGGAAGCGTTCAAGAGAACGGGGTTGATGGAGTCGTACTCGTCGTGATCCAAATCACCGATGACCGAGCGCCGAACGGATGGCACCTCCGCGTTCAACACACGTACGGTTGGGAAGACGTCTCCTCCAACTTGATCCAGCAAGGGGGAAGGAGAGGTTGATGGAGATCCAGCAGCACGACGGCGTGGTGGTGGAAGCAACTATGATCTCGGCAGGGCTTCGCCAAGCTTAGCGGGAGGGAGAGGTGTCACGGGAGGGAGAGGGAGGCGCCAGGGGCTAGGGTGCGGCTGCCCTCCCTCCCTCCCACTATATATAGGACCCCTAGGGGGGCGCCGGCCCTAGGAGATCCAATCTCCAAGGGGGGCGGCGGCGAAGGGGGTGGCTTGCCCCCCAAGCCAAGTGGGGCGCCCCCCACCCCTAGGGTTTCCAACCCTAGGCGCATGGGGAGGCCCATGGGGGGCGCACCAGCCCACCAAGGGCTAGTTTCCTTCCCCACTTCAGTTCATGGGGCCCTCCGGGATAGGTGGCCCCACCCGGTGGACCCCCGGGACCCTTCCGATGGTCCCGGTACAATACCGGTGACCCCTGAAACTTTCCTGATGGCCGAAACTGGACTTTCTATATATAATTCTTCACCTCCGGACCATTCCGGAACTCCTCGTGACATCCGGGATCTCATCTGGGACTCCGAACAACTTTCGGGTTACCGCATACTAATATCTCAACAACCCTAGCGTCACCGGACCTTAAAGTGTGTAGACCCTACGGGTTCGGGAGACACGCAGACATGACCGAGACGACTCTCCGGTCAATAACCAACAGTGGGATCTGGATACCCATATTGGCTCCCACATGCTCCTCGATGATCTCATCGGATGAACCACGATGTCGAGGATTCAATCAATCCCGTATACAATTCCCTTTGTCAATCGGTACGTTACTTGCCCGAGACTCGATCGTCAGTATCCCAATACCTCGTTCAATCTCGTTACCGGCAAGTCACTTTACTCGTACCGTAATGCATGATCCCGTGATCAACCACTTGGTCACATTGAGCTCATTATGATGATGCATTACCGAGTGGGCCCAGAGATACCTCTCCGTCATACGAAGTGACAAATCCCAGTCTCGATTCATGCCAACCCAACAGACACTTTCGGAGATACCCGTAGTGCACCTTTATAGTCACCCAGTTACGTTGTGACGTTTGGCACACCCAAAGCACTCCTACGGTATCCGGGAGTTGCACAATCTCATGGTTTAAGGAAATGATACTTGACACTCAGAAAAGCTCTAGCAAACGAACTACACGATCTTTGAGCTATGCTTAGGATTGGGTCTTGTCCATCACATCATTCTCCTAATGATGTGATCCCGTTATCAATGACATCTAATGTCCATAGTCAGGAAACCATGACTATCTTTTGATCAACGAGCTAGTCAACTAGAGGCTCACTAGGGACGTGTTGTGGTCTATGTATTCACACATGTATTACGATTTCCGGATAACACAATTATAGCATGAACAATAGAAAATTATCATGAACAAGGAAATATAATAATAACCATTTTATTATTGCCTCTAGGGCATATTTCCAACAGTCTCCCACTTGCACTAGAGTCAACAATCTAGTTACATTGTGATGAATCAAACACCCACAGAGTTCTGGTGTTGATCATGTTTTGCTCTAGGGAGAGGTTTAGTCAATGGATCTGCCACATTCAGATCCGTATGTACTTTACAAATATCTATGTCTTCATTTTGAACACTTTCACGAATGGAGTTGAAGCGGCGCTTGATATGCCTGGTCTTCCTGTGAAACCTGGGCTCCTTGGCAAGGGCAATAGCTTCAGTGTTGTCACAGAAGAGAATCATCGGGTCCGACGCATTGGGAATGACTCCTAGGTCGGTAATGAACTCCTTCACCCAGATTGCTTCTTGTGCTGCCTCCGAGGCTGCCATATACTCCGCTTCACATGTAGATCCCGTCACAACGCTTTACTTGCAACTGCACCAGCTTACTGCCCCACCATTCAAAATATACATGTATCTGGTTTATGACTTAGAGTCATCCAGATCTATGTCGAAGCTAGCATCGACGCAACCCTTTACGACGAGCTCTTCGTCACCTTCATAAACGAGAAACATATCCTTAGTCCTCTTCAGGTACTTCAGGATATTCTTGACCGAACTGTGGGGACGTCTGGGGCCCGACGGTTGGGGACGTATCGTCCCCACGCCGAAAAAAACCGCCGGCTCGCCCCCAAGAGGCGATTTTCGGCGCGTCTTGGGGGTGCAACGGCTGGAGATGCTCTAAGCATCGCCTGGAGGTTACGGCCCCGCCGACTATGATGCAGGCGACAGTGCTAGGCGGGTACGACGGCGGCGGACAACAGGGTCTCGGCTACGGCGACCATGTCCATGGCGGGTGAGGTCAAACTGAGAACTACGACACCGGCTTTAGGGGTTGCTCCAGCAGGAATTTCTCATGCGTTGGGGCTCCCCACGACCACTACGGCGACGGGGGGACTACAACCAGTGGTGGAGCGAGGAAAGTTGTATTAGGGCATGTACAATGGTTGATAAAATAGTTTTATCTTAAATCTTACATGTAATTTAGAGATAACAAAAAAGAATATCTACAATGGGTCATCTCTTAGTCTTATCTTCAATAACTAGCTATTCCTAAAAACGTGGTGAGACATATTATGCTAAGAGATCATCTCTTGTCTTCTCTTATGAGTTCTATCTCCTCCACCTCATCATTTATCCTACGTGGCACTTTGAAAATAGCACCATTGTACATGCCCTTAGTGGGGCCGAAATGCTGTTAAAATAAGCTGGGAGGGCCAAGGAATTGAAAAAAGAGGGTCGTGCTACGCATGGGCCGGCGGGGTCTATGAGACGCCTGGTAAGACCAATCTTCCGATCAAGCATCGTCGTTACTTTTGCAATAGAAGTCGTGTTGCGATAACCCTTTTTGCAACACATGTCTTGTTGCAAGAATATTTAAAACAAAGGTTGTGTTGCAGATTTCTTTTATTTTTTATTTGCAATAGAGGTCTTGTTGCAGGATATTTTTGAGATTTTTTTTTGCAAAAGAGCTCTTGTTGTAAAAAAATTTAGCAACAGATGTCTTGTTGCAGAAAGTCACCGTGTTGCATTGCTTGCAGTCATGGCCTCGAGCAGGAGCTCGGTCTAGTTGGGGAAGGGAGAAGGGGTGTTGCGTACACGATAATGGTAATAATGGAGGCGATGCAGCATGGAGTCGGAGCGGCATAGTTGGGTGAAGGTGGCCGGAGCTTGCTCGAGCGACCATGGCCGCTGGTCGCGAGCAGACACGATGAGAGGCGACATCGTCGGTGTGCTGCGTGAAATCAGCAACAGCACATAGAGATTGTATCGCTACGGCATCACTACACCGAGTCAATAAAATACATCGTTAATCGAAAAAGATTAAGTAAATGCGTGATAAATGTTGCGCCACACACTTTGTTTGGGGAGTGTTAAATGGTGTGTCATGTATTCTTATTTTGTGTTTGGTTGTGCTCTGGACTTTTTTCGACTATTCTGTAAGAATGGTATCAAACTTAAAAATAAAGATGATTGTGTGCATCAGCCGACACAGAAGCCCGATTCTTCACCTTTTCGAAAAGAAAAACTTATGTATACATCCTTTTCACAAACTGTATAAGGATAGTATAGTCATTTGACCATAACGTATACACACTTCCGTATGTGACGCGTACGAGCTGTTCGTAGACGTACATAGCAGATCCGCCGGCCCATCAGACAAACTGGAACTTATTGCATATTCAGACAATCGCCAATGCGTTGCGCCCGGCTTGGGGAAACCCTAGAGGATTGGTGTTCCGCCCGGCGGGTGAGAACATGTTCATTGCAGAGTTTGAGTCCCAACATGATCGCGATCGCGTGTGGGAGGGATCGCCGTGGCATATAAGCAAGCACGCAGTTGTTCTCACGGAATTTAAAGAGTGTATGCGGCCGTCTGAGCTGCAGTTTGAGAACCTTCAGATTTGGGTTAGGGTCCCAAATTTGCCTTTCAATTTGCGGATTGAT